ATAATAGATTCATTGACTGAGGCTACTGTTCAAAGAAATTCTATGACCACTATTCATTTTGCAACACAAAATGTAAATTTGTTTGGTAATAAACAATAAATGCAATGTCTGGTAGGTGCTAGAGATCCAAGTGCTATGTTCCCTTCCTAAGCTAGGAGTCATTTAATATGCAGCCCAACAAATGGGGGGAAGTCTATTTTTTGGGATGACATTTGTTGTCCCTGTACTCCATTAAAGTCTTTTCAAATATTATGGCCACCCCACTGTAGGTAGAAATCAATCCATTCTGCATGATGGTATAGTGTGATGATTAAGTGCACATACTATGTGGATTTCAACTCCAGCTCTGTCTCTTACTAACTGTGCAGTGTCTTAGAAGGACATTTAACATATCTCTTCCTTAGTTTCCACATCTGAAAAATGATTAGGGGCCTCCCTGGTGGTGCCAGGGGTTAAGACGCAGCACTATGAAGCTGTCTGCAGCCACTGCAGCAAAGTTCGATCCCCGGCCAGGGAGCTGATCCACAAGGCACAGCAGACCTCTCCTGTCTTGCCCATTGCTCCCCTTAAGAGTGTCTTTCAGTAGATTTGCCTGTTCTGCTCCCCACTCCATCTCTGGTGAATCTTCTCACCCCCACAACTCTTGCCTGCACCCCAGCGCTTGCATGCATAAATAAATAAAAAATGATTATTACAATAGTGAAATAGATTAATATATACATGAAGTCCTCGGATCAGAACTGAGCACAAAAAGATATTCAAGACTTATTTTTTAAGTGAGTTGAGGAGAGAATTGGCCAGTGAACTAAAAACTTCCAGGTTCAAAATCTGTGAAATTTATATAACAGTAACAAGAATGAACATGCATACATGCAATCAAGGGATTACAAAAGTCACAGTTTAACTGAGAGACAATATATTTAATCTCCACTACAAAAATTAAATTTATGTATCTGTCAATCTGTTGGTCTACCATGCAAAAATAACTGGATCAATTTTCATTAAATATTCAGGGTATATTTGGAATGGGGTGTTTTAAAATATAAGCTATTCAGATAAATAAAATTAAATCTACAGAGGACTGAAAACAAACGGGCGGTCAGCCTACAAAACTGTTCAAATTGTTACTCAACAAGAGGCCTCTTCAACTGCCAAGCTGGAGAAATAAACCAAGAGTGATTTTTTTTAAAAATGTGCTCCAAACATAAAGTCACCAGGGCACATGTTTCAAATAACAAGAATACGTTTCTTCCAAATCCACTTATAGGAAGAAGAACATCATTTTTAAAAAGTACTGCTTTTGATATTCCTAATAACCACTGGTCCATACTATTTCATGTACTACTCTAGTAAAAACCAAAGTTTCCACAAAAATGGCAACTTAACCACAATGATGCTGGTTGGAGTGCCAGGACCTCTTTCATTTTTCAAGATTTGATAGAAGATTGATTTTTGAAACTTAAAATCTACCATCCCTACCTCTTGTTATAATGACTCGATTTTAAATAGTTTATATGCTAGTATTTCCCAGGTATGAGGGAAGCGACACATTAAGAAAAATAATTGCAACAATTTCCCAAGAATCATACTGGCTTTCCACTCAATGTAAATTTTTTAGACATATGAAATTTGCTGTTGAAAGCTTTCAATGTCATTTTTACAAACTATTATAATTTACCTGGTAACAAAAATTGCAAACAATTTGGTGTAACCCCACGGAGAATAAAACAAAGTACTATAGTGTTGTCTAATGTTCAGTTCAGTTTGGCAAATACCTTTTTGCCACCCTAAGTTCCAGAAAATGTGCTAGGTGATAAAGACAAAAAGGTACAATGTAAAACCAATACAGTGTGATATCTAATTAGAATATATATAATTGCAAAAGCCATCTGAAAAAGAAATAGTTGACCTCTTTTTAAGATTTTCAGGGAAGAGTAGGTTTTGAAGGAGAATAAAGAGGGTATCATAAAGACAAGATGAGGAAGCAAGACATTGCAGAAAGAGAAATGGGTATGTGTACAGGCAACACTGAAAACAACACTGTAATGGCAGGACAGGACACGGAGTAGGATCTCTATGATCCGAGCAGAACAAGTAAAGGAGGAGAGAGTCCTGGAGCCCTCAGTGGCTTTTTAGGCTTTTATTGGGATTTACCAGGTATACAGCAGGCAGGGGTGCTGGGGGGCCGGGAGGCTGGCAGGCCTCCCAGCCCCCAGCTAGTCTTTACTCTATCTGGGCTCTCCGGCATTTTCTCAAGTTCTCTCTGCTTCTCTCTCATGGTTCTGCTCTCTGCTCTACTATTCGCTCGGCTTCTGCTGAGTCCCCATGATGCTGCCCTTAAAAGCCCTATCTCTTAGTCCAGGTGAATCCCATCTACATATGCCCACGCCCTACTCCAGGTGCCCGCCATCAGGCATGCATTCGGGACCACAGGGTTCCATCATCTATCCTAATGGCAGGAGGGCAGAAAAGCCCGATACTTTTTTTTTTTTTTTAAAGATTTATTTATTCATTTACACAAGCACTGCGCACAGTCAGAAGAGCGGGAAGGTGAGAGAATTCACCAGAGCCAAAGCGGGAAACAGAACAGCCAGACCTACGAAATACACTGCTGAGGGGAGCAGTGGGCACGGCAGGAGAGGTCTGCGTGCCATGTGGGACCCTTGCTGGTGGCCAGGGATCGAACCAGCGCTACAGAGGCTGCGGGCAGCTTCGAAACTCAGCGCTCAACCGCTGAACCACCAGGGGAGGCCCCCGATACCTTTTTTTTTTTTTTTAAGATTTATTTATTTTAATTTTATACAAGAACTGGGGTACAGGCCAGATGCACAGGAGGGTGAGAGGATTCACCAGAGACAGAGTGGAGAACAGAACAGGCAAACTGACGAAATACACTGCTGAGGGGAGCAGCCGGAGCTACAGGAGGGGTCTGCTGCGCCAGCCCACCGGATTGGAACTGGTGCTGTACAGGCTGCCAACAGCTTCACAGTGCAGCACTCAACCGTCTGGGCCACCAGGGAAGGCCCAAGCCTGATACTTTTTACCTTACCCTACAAGCATGATATAGTAAGTGTAACTGGTCATACATAACATAGGTTATAAACTGTTCACTGTGTTATTATTTTCTTAACTAAATTGCATTTGGGGGAGTGTAGGGTAGGTAAAAAGTATCAGGCTTTTCTGCCCTCCCACCATTAGGATAGATGAGGGAACCCTGTGCTCCTGAATGCATGCCTGATAGCAGGCACCTGAAGTGGGTACACCTGACTGAGAGACTGAGTTTATAAGGGTGGCATCACCAGGACACCAGCAGAAGCCAAGAATGAATAGTAGCTGAGAGAGGGAGGGACAGGGGCAGGGACAGGAGCAGCAGTGCAGCAGAGATCACTGGAGAACCCAGAGAGAGTAAAGACCCCCCTGCCTGCCGTGTGCCTGATAAATCTAAATAAAAAGTCTGCAAAAGCCACCGAGAGCTCCAGGACTCTGACTCCTCCTTTACCCAGTCTGCTGGATCACAGAAAACCTGCACTGTGCCCCTTCCTGCCCTACAGGGAGCAAAAGGAAAAGTGATTTTTTCTCTTTTCCTTTTGTTATATAAGAAGCAATGAAACAGAAATATTTTTGTTGTCCCCCCTGGTGGTACAAGGGGTTAAATACCATACTATGAAGCAATCTGCAGCCTCTGCAGCACAAGTTCGATCCCTGGCTGGCCAGGGAGAAACCGCATGGTGCAGCAGACCTCTCCTGTCTCGCCCGCTGCTCCCCTCAGCAGTGTATTTCAGTCAGTCTGCCTGTTCTGTTCCCCACTCTGTCTCTAGTGAATCCTCTCACCCCCCACATCTCTGGCCTGTATCCTAGCTCTTGTATACAAAAATAATTTTTGTTTTAAAAAAGAAAAATTTTGGTAACTATTTCTTTCTCTGAGATTTTAGTAATTGTTAGGAACAGTCAAGAACAGCATTGTTCAAAAGTATAATGCAAACCACACATGTCAGCTTAATCTCCCATTACCTTCATTTTTTTTTAAAGATTTATTTATTTATCTATACAAGAACTGGGTATAGTCAGAAGCGTGGGCGGGTGAGAGAATTCACCAGAACCAGATCTGAGAACAGAACAGGCAGACTGACGAAGCACACTGCTGAGGGGAGCAGCGGGCGGCAGGAGAGGTCTGTGCGCCATGTGGGGCCCTCGCCCGGCGGCGGGGGATCTAACTGGTGCTGCAAAGGCTGCAGGCAGCTTCGCAACCCAGCACTCAACCACTGCACCACTGGGGAGGCCCTCCCATTACCTTCATTTTAAAAAGTGAAAAAAAAAAAAAAAAACAGAAAAAAAAAACCAACAAGCCCAAGGCTAAAATTCGTATTTTCCCCCAGTCCAATTACTTGAAATATTATAACTTTAATTATAATAAATATAAAAATGAGACATTTTACATTTTTATACTAAGTCTTTGAAAACCTGTGCATATCTTACACTTGCAGCACATATCAATTTTGATACTATTTTTTATTAGAAATACTCAATGTGCATGTAGATTTCAAAAATTTACAGTTGAAAAAGAAGCCACGTAATTCAACATTTCTGAACATACTTAAGTCATAAAAACTAAGTATCAGCTTTTTAATTAAAATTTGTTAAAATTAAATACAAAAAAACTCAGTTATTTAGTTGTACTAGTGATATTTCATGGTCTCATCTCACTAGTAGCTACAATTCTAGAATAAGTCTCTTGAGTACTCTCAGGTCAAATCTCTAGCCTGAAATTCATGGTAACAACAACAACAACAACAAAAAACAATCAACAGACAATCAGGTTGATGATGAGGTACTAATGTTAGGGAATTTGGGTTGTCTGGATGACTCTCTTATTGGTCCATATCTGTTCAGACAGGTATTAGCTGGGAAAAGTCTTGCAATCAGCATGGAGCCTGAGTTTGACTGGAAGAAGCTTAAAGAGTTCATGTTATAAAAGCAGAAGATATTGACTTGATACTTACTGACTTGTTCCAGTTCTTATCCCCCTTTTTAAAATAAGCAGATTTAAATGGTAACCAAATTCTGAAAAGGAATAGAGAGAAAATTTCTGGTCTTAGTGGAGATGAAGTTCTTTTACCTTTTTATCACACTTACCCAAAAAATACCCATCACAAACAAAATCCAAGATGATAAAATGTTTTCAATTTTGTTTGCAAAATAACAAGGTTTTGTGGTTTTGGTTTTTTTTTTTTGGCTCTATTTAGGCAAACATGTATAGACATACTTCTTCAACAAAGACCTAAGTACAAATGCATAAGATTAAACTGACTATTATGGCCAAAGAACATGACATAGGTACTTCTTATTTTATGGATTGGAGTTCCTATAGAAATAGCCAGCAAGGAGTTACCATTCGTCCAAAATATTCCATGATTTATTTACTAAAACTTTTTTGGCTGAGTATTCTGCACTGTGGTAGGTAATGAAATTACAATTGTGAACAAGAATCACCTGCATGCATGCGACACATGATGAGAACTGTCAGAGGAGAGTATGCAATTAAAGCACGCAGGAGTAGGGGTGGCTGATTCAGCAAATGAAAATACAGGAAGCCAACAACGCATGGGATATACTTATACTAGAAATTGCTACATATCTAAACTTCAAATTTAGTAAAGCATGTCTTTTATTTAAATCTACATTAGAGGGACAACTTGGACATCGAGGTCAATGGAAAGGAAGGTTTCCTTCAAAAAATTTCCCTTCAAATGAACCCAAGAGAAAGAGGCAGGGAGAAAGCTTTCCAGGTGGAAACAATGCAATGTAAACTAAGTTGCGAAGGCCACTCCTGAAATCTAAGAAATGACATACGCAAAAGAGTAAGAGACCAGGAAAAAGACTAATTGCAATAAAGTAGAAATCAAAATCAACAAGCAACTATAGACCAGAGACACACTACAATGGAGGGGGACAGGGGGCAGGAGAAGAGGGATTAGGGTCAGAATAAGGGGGTGTGAATTGTATGGGGAAAATAACCAAAATGAAAATGCATACATTATGCAAAAATGAAAAATGATGTAAGAATTATATAAAACAATTTATATTAAAAATATAAAAAAAAAAGAATTGGGGCAAGGAGGAAGGAAGAGGGGGGAAGGCTGATGACATGAAGCCTCAAGGAAGAGTAGACGCCTATAAGGAGTTTGTACTTTATAAGATATGATTCCATATTGCATAATGTATGCATTTTCATTTTGGTTATATTCCCCATACAATTCACACCCCCTTATTCTGACCCTAATCCCTCTTCTCCTGCCCCCCTGCCCCCTCCACTGTAGTGTGTCTCTGGTCTATAGTTGCTTGTTGTTGCATGCAAAAATGAAAAATGATGTAAGAATTATATAATTCATAAAAAAAAAGAATTGGGGTAAGGAAGAAGAGGGGGGAAAGGCTGATGACATGAAGCCTCAAGGAAGAGTAGAAGCCTGTAAGGAGTTTGTACTTTATAGGATATGATTCCGGTAAAGAACTTTAAGCTCTCCACTTTGGTTACAGTGTGAAGAATGGACTAAAGTGGAGAAAGCAGACTCCTGGGAGTCACTTAGGAGGCTACCCAAATAATTCAGGGGAATCATTAAAAGGCTGAACAGAGGCAATGGGAAGACAGATGGATTAAACCGTGAACTTGAAGTGGCAGAGAAAGTGGAAGACCAGGAGAAGCACATCTTACGGAAAACCCTGAAGAAATGGTCAACAAGTCGAATGTTTTCTGAGCAGACAAGGATTGACTGAGACACGTAGATTTAACCATAAGAAAGTCACCGGAGACTTTTAGCCCAGGCAGTCTCAGAGGAATGGTTGCGATCAAACTATGTAGATGCTGGTGGAGGGAAGCGACTAGTTGGTCAGCAACCCGCCGGGGCACCCACCAGCCCCAACTTCCTCCCAGCCTTTTGAACAGGTGAGGGTCAAGGACAGGAATAGAGTTTGGAGATGGCGCGGCCAGCGTCCCAATCAGGCGGAGCAGCGCAGCAGGCTGATCGCCAGGGGCCAATCCTTTCCTTGGACTTCTATGATTGACAGAGGCGCACTCCAAAGACAGAGCGTCCTGCTTGGAGGCCACGAATCACATGGGGGCGGGATTCCAGGGCACTAACCCGGAACCGGTTTGGGATTTGATTCCCATTGTGAGGCCAGACCTGGGGCGTGCCCTCAGCCAGAATGGCAATACCCCCCAGGCCAATGGGAGAGCCTTACTCGATGAGCGGCAGCCTCATTAGCCAATGGGCGTCGGGAGAGGGCGGGCCAAGTTGGTGGGCGGGGAACCAGTGAAGCATCATTTTTCCTAACCCCCTGCGAGGCGACGGTGCAGAGGTGCCACCGGGGTCGCAGGTGAGCCGGTCTGTTCCGATCCAGGCCAATAGGGAGGCGGCTGCCTGGCGGACGGCGGGTGATCCCGCAGCGGGGAGGGTCCCGGGGGGGTCAGCGGCAGGTGGCGGCACTCCACTGCTGGCTTTGGCCCTGGCTTCGCCGCGTAGCCGGACCGGGACGTTGGGCAGAGGTACCCTTGGCGGCTGCCTCCGGGGAGGAGGGGCAGGGCCATGCCGCCCTAACCGGGCTGGGGGAGTTTCCGGGCAGCAGTTCGGGACTTTGATATCCACCCTGCATGAGGACTGTCCTTCCAGGTTGCCCAAGTCCTAGCTGGTGCAGCCACAGCGATCTGGCCGCGTCAGGTGCACGCCCCATACCCCCAGGATTCCGGGAACCCCTGATCCTCCCGGGGAGGGTCTGTTGCTCCATCGTCCCAAAGGAGGCGGTAGGGAGCGAGGGCGCTAGAGGTACTTTGGTAAACTTCTGTTACTTACCTACGAGTTTTAGGGAATAGCATCCTCTTTGGCAGAGAAGTGGATTTTCTATGGGAATATGGTGGCGGGGCAGTTACACTTTCTTTTTCTTTACACTTTCTTTTTCTTTTAAAGATTTATTTATGCATACAAGAGCTGGGGTACAGGCCAGAGATGGGGATAAGAGGATTCACCAGAGACCGGAGTGGGGAACAGAACAGGCAGACTGACTGAAGCACACTGCTGAGGGGAGCAGCAGGCGAGACAGGAGAGGTCTGCTTCGCCATTTGGGTTGCTCTCTGGCCAGCCGGGGCTCGAACTCGTGCTGCAGAGGCTGGGGATTGCTTCACAGTGCGGTGCTTAACCTCTTGAGCCACCTGGAAGGCCCAGGAAGTCCCCGGGGCAGTTACACTTTAAAGAGAATTGGAGTGGGCATGAGAAGTTTGTAGATTTCAGATGCTTTTCTTGAACAGCCTAATGAATTTACATGTATCAATGTATGTTATAAATTACAATTATATAATAAATTATGTCTATAATAAATATGGAGCAGAATTTACTGCTTGATTTTTCTTAGATCTCCTGATTCTGTCGTATCACTCAGTGTCTAGGAGCATCATTCTCAAGTGTTAGTCCCTGAAAAAAAAATTACCCAGTTACAATATACTAGTGGTGGGACTTCATCTTAAGGTAGATTTGCAAAAGTGAACTACACTCACATCTGTTTCCAGCTAGTGGTCAGCTGCAAAGAATCTAGAAAACTTAAATAAGGGACCAGGAAAAAGAATATAAGAAAGAAAATATCAAAATCAACAAACAACTATGAACCATAGACACTCTATGGGGGGTAGGGGGCGGGGAAAGGAGGGCTTAGGGTCAAAATAAGGGGGTTGTAATTGTAAGGGGAATATAAAAATAAAATTTAAATAATAAATAAATAAAAATTTACCAGGTTAAAAAAAAAAAATGAAAGGTCAGGCCTCCCCTGGTGGCGCAGTGGTTAACTGCTGGTCTGCGAAGCTGCCTGTAGTCTCTGCAGCGCCGGTTCGATCCCCGGCCACCAGCGAGGGTCCCACATGGTGCGCAGACCTCTCCTGTTGCCCGCTGCTCCCCTCAGCTGTGTATTTCGTCAGTCTGCCTGTTTCTCTTCCCCACTCTGCCTCTGGTGAATTCTCTCACCCTCCTGCGCTTCTGACTGTACCCAGTGCTTGTATAAATGAATAAATAAATCTTTAAAAAAAAAAAAAAAGAAAGGTCTATGAAGTTTTAGAGGTTGCAACTACTGAATTTCTGTAAAGACAGGAGGACAACCAATCTAAAAGGGATAGTATTTGACATCTAAAATGGCATCTTTTCACATTTTGTGACATATCCCCAGCAATAAGAATATGTTCTTGTTACATAGTAAGAGATCAGTAAATATTTGACTAAATTATGGATTAATAGATAATAGAAAACCCTGTTATGATACCAAAATGTAAATCAGACAACAGAAAGAAAAATAATCCTGGAAGTGAAGCTTAGCTTCTATTCAGGCAAGGGCAGCTCCCAAACTTCAACTCAAGATACATTGATATTGGTGCTTTCTGAAATTAATTACAAGATATCAAAGTTTTCACATAATTAAGTCATGATTGACGGAAATGTAAGCTACATCCCAACAGCAATCTTAGTGTGGGTAAAGGTGCGTTAATATGCATTTTGTCAGTTCATCTGTTTAGGTCAGGGCCAAAGGGTTACCAGTTTTGTAAGATAGAGATTTGGAGTTATAGATGGTTGGGGAAAAACATGCCATGCAAAGAATGACTGCTGCCAAAATTTTAAAGACATACTCAGGGAAAGTTTCAAAAGGACTGTTATTTCTGCCATATAAATAAATTTAATTCAGTTGCTAAAATGACCTCAGATTCTAAGAGCTGCAAAATCTGCTGATGGATATTTGCATAAATTAGGATTCTCCTGACTATTACAGTCATAGTTTTACTATTTTATCATATACTTTGTTGTATATTTCCGTAAAATTGCCTTCATATAAAAATTAACATGCTTGAATTTCAACAATATGTGAACTTCAGTCTCTTGAAATAAGTCTTATAGCAAAGTATTTAACATATCAGTAAGCCCCACTAAGATTCACTGACATTTGATCTCAGCTTAGTTTTCCATCTTTTATTCCTCTTATTTCCTTCATTTTTGACCTCATCAGTCTGTTTGTTTTATAAGGCCCCAATCAAATGCTTATTCCTATTCCCAACCTTCCATGATCCCTCCAAATAATTTTCCTCCTTCTGAACTTGTGTGATGTTTTATTAGTACTTAATGTACTTCTCATGTATTTACATTATCATCCAGTAAATAGTCACTTACTAGATCCAGACAGTATTGGGAAATAGATAATAACTGATGTTTGTTGAAGTTTGCTAAATGCCAGGTATTTAAGTATCTTGAGTGGATTATCTAATTTCAACTTCAATATATCATGAGTAGTGTTCTGTTTTATTCCCATTTTTAAATGAGATGTTTTAAAGGTTAATTTGCTTCAGATCAAATGGAATTGACATACAAGTCTAGGTAGTCTATATTCACAAATCCTCAGTCTGTGATATCCCTTATACTTTTTTCATGTGAATTTGTATGCATATATGTTTTACACGTTTTAAGTAGATTATGACTTATTTGCTAGTATGAGTAGTAGTTGATCTTTGATCCCTTATTGATTCTATTGTAAAATAAATGATTATAATAATATTTCTGATAGTGAAAGCATGTGGCAGGAACATCAGAGTTGGAGGGGTTGAAACATTAGACATCTCAGCCAATTCTTCAGGTTGAATACTTATTGCTTAGGCAAAAGGCCAGAGATCATGGGAGGCTGGGCTGAAGGATTACTTGTATGATATTCCTAAGGCAGGGGTCATTACAACCAAAATGTGTACAACATGATATTTGTGGAATGATTACCACATAATTGTCCAGATAATTGACACATCCATCACCTCACATAGTTAACTTTGTGTGTGTGTGCAGCTTGAGTTCTGCTGGAGCACTCTTTATAAACTCTGAATGTATAACCCTGTTCCAAAGATTATTTTAATGGGTGAGGTACTTTTAAAAACCTATGAGGTCATTTAATGTGCTGTGGACCTGCACAAATGTGTGCTGTTGAGTTTTTGAATTGTTCTAATGCAAAATGAGGTGTGTTCTAACTATAAAATAAATGCTGCATTCAAAGACTTTTTGGAAAAAGCAAGAATGGAAACTTGATCATTAATAATTTTTATATATTGATTACATATTGGAATGATAATTTATTGAATATATGGATTCATTAAAATGTTAAAATTAATTTCACCTTTGTTTTGCTTCATTTTGCTTTACCATGACTACTAGAGTTTGTTTTTTTTTTTGTTTGTTTGTTTTTGCATAGAACAACTGGGTTTAGGCCAGCAGTGCAAGGGGTAAGAGAGTTCACCAGAGACAGAGTAGGGAGCAGAATAGGTGGGTTTACTGAAATACACTGCAAGGGGAGCAGCAGGTAAGACAGGAGAGGTCTGCTGTCCATATGTGGGTTAGCTCCCTGGTTAGGGATGGAACTCAAGCCATAGGGGTGATAGTTCTGAGACTTAACCCCTATGTCACCAGGGAAGCCCTCCTCCTAGAAATTTTTTAATTATATGTGGATCATGTTTCTGTTGGACAGTGCTGCCCAGGATAGACCTTTGCTGTCAAGGTGTAATCCAAGGACCAGCAGCATCAGCATCATTTGGGAGTTGGTTAGGAATGTAAAACCGCCAACCCCACCCAGACTTACTGAATCAGAATCTGTATTTTAATTTTTTTATTTATGAATTCCTTGTCTTCTATGGTGAGAGACTTATATGTTTGGCTAATCAGGCAGTATCTGCCTAGGACAAGATAAAAAGTAGTGATTATTTTAATTAGTACTTTTGATTTATTAGCTATCTTGAGAAATCTTGGAATTCAGTTTTAGGAATAGTTTATGTAAATAAACTTATTTTTGTAAATATACTGTTTTTGTTTTTGCATATTTGTTTATTTTGTTTATGTAAATATGCTGTTTTTGTTTTTGCATATTTGCCCTGTGGGTGCCATCAAATTGATGATGATTTCTTGAGTGTTCATGTTTTTCTCTTTGTATTTTTTAGTTCCTTCAGATTCCATGTCCCAGCAAGTGGCCATTCAGGAGATGGTTATTCCACATGAGTGATTAGAAACAAAAAAATATATAGTTAGATGGGTATATTTTGGGTGGTGTTATTATTAGGTACACACCGAGGTGGTTGAACCAGGATTATTGGGGATTTGAAAAGGATAAACTACATAAGAATTTAGTGAATTGGGTAATAAAAGACATTTTTACTGAAGTTTAGAAACTGGAAATTTGTACTGACTTAAGTCATAAAGCAAAGAGATTTTGGCATTTTCTAATTAAATGTATCCAATAATTGTTGTATCTTTAGTAATGTTTGTATTATCAGCTATGAGAGAAATATTTTCCTGCTAATAAAATTTTGAAATTGGCAAATACTAAGTTATTTAGAGAAGAAATGTTAGTAAAACTTAACCTGGTTGAAACTTCGATAATGATGTTTTCTGCCTATATACAGAACTTATCTAAACCTTACCTATAATTTAAGAATCTGCTTCATTTGAAAGTCTAATATTTCAAAACTTACCTTAGCAACACATTTATAAGACTTAGCTATCACAACTGCTAATAAAAGGGGAAAGAGATGTGACATAAGAGGATCTATTTGTAACTCTTGCCAATTAACTGTAGTTTGCAAATTATTTATATGTTGGTATTTTGCATTCAGTGAGAATGGAATTCAAAAGGCCAAGAAGGGAGCAATCCATTGCCTATGCAGTGGGAACTGTGTTTCAAAACCTGAACAAGGAAAGAGCTGGATAAGAATGGATGATTGAAAGAAGACCTGTGTAGTCAGAATAGAGAGGCTGAGCTGGGGAGAGTAGTAGGAGAAGGAGCTGGAGAAGCAGAGTGGGTGAAGAGTGAATAGTGACAGTCTGCTAGTTAGGACTTGTTCCAGCAGTCCCGGTGAGCAGAAATGGTAGCTTGGACTGTGGTGGTGCTGGCAGAGACAAGAGAAGTGTAGGCTAGAAATGTCTTTTTGGAAGTTGTGTATATGTTGCTTATTGAGTTGAAGTACATTGCAGAAGTAGCAGGTTGATTAATATTTTACTTTTTTCTCTTTAGGAATTATCCAGGCTGCCTGTGCTACTAGATGAATGGAAAACTGATTTAAACGAATTGCCAACAAGGGATTGTCTTTGGTTTGTGTACTTCATAGCGTCCCTCAATTTCCTCTCATATCTCCTCTTACTGTAAAAACTGCATTTGAATTTAAAAAAATGAAGCAGTTGAAAAGAAAAAGGAAAAGCAATTTCAGTGTTCAAGAAACTCAGACCCTTTTGAAAGAAATTACAAAAAGGAAAGAAGTTATTTTTTCCAAGCAGCTTAATACGACAATTAATGTGATGAAACGAATGGCCTGGGAGGAGATTGCACAGTGTGTGAATGCTGTTGGGGAGGGAGAACAGAGGACAGGGACGGAGGTGAAGAGAAGATATCTCGACTGGCGAGCACTTATGAAGAGGAAGAGGATGAAGGCAAACATTAAGCTGGTTGGTTCGGGATTTCCCCTTCCCACATCCGATTTAGATGACTCTCTCACTGAGGAGATAGATGAAAAGATTGGATTCCGAAATGATACAAATTTTGACTGGCAAAATGTGGCAGATTTCAGAGATGCAGGTGGATCCTTAACTGAAGTCAAAGTGGAAGAAGAAGAAAGAGACCCCCAGAGTCCTGAGGTAAATATTAGCCTCTGAGCACCTTTTCTTTTCTGTGTCTTCATTTCTGATGGAAGAGTTTATTATAGTTCAGGAATAATTGAGTAGTCAAGCTAACTTAACTGAGGTACATACCAAAGTCCTTCTGGTTTTCCCTTCCTTCTATCTTTGATCTCTTTCTTCTCTTCCAAATATACTGATCCTAATTATATGCATCAGTTACATTAGGTAATTCAATATAAATATTATTCAGAATTCAAACTAAATGTTATTGTGTGCTCAAATGATACAGGAAACTTTTCAGAAATGTTTAGTCAAATTGCCAGCTGTGAAGTAGAAATAAATACTGAAAAATTGCCTTTGTCTCTTAGTTTGAGATTGAAGAGGAAGAAGAAATGCTGTCGTCGGTCATACCCGATTCCAGAAGGGAAAATGAACTTCCAGATTTCCCTCACATTGATGAGTTTTTCACTCTTAACTCAACGCCGTCGAGGTCTGCGTATGATGAGCCCCATTTGCTTGTAAACATAGAGAAACAGAAACTAGAGTTGGAGAAGCGACGCCTGGATATAGAGGCCGAGAGACTGCAAGTAGAAAAGGAGCGCCTCCAGATCGAGAAGGAGAGGCTGCGGCACCTCGACCTGGAGCATGAGCGGCTGCAGCTGGAGAAGGAGCGGCTGCAGATCGAGAGAGAGAAGCTGCGCCTGCAGATAGTCAGCTCAGAGAAACCGTCTTTGGAAAGCGAACTCGGTCCAGGAGAGAAGTCCATACTTCAGCCGCAGGACGTAGAAACAGAGAAGTTAAAACTTGAACGAGAACGATTGCAGCTGGAAAAAGATAGGCTGCAGTTCTTGAAATTTGAGTCGGAGAAGCTACAGATCGAAAAGGAACGGTTGCAAGTAGAGAAAGAGAGACTTCGAATTCAGAAGGAAGGACACCTGCAGTGACTTAGCTAGGCCTCCATGTAGTAAATGTAAACCATAGGCTTTCTCTATATCAGGTAATAGTAAAAATGTTTTCAGGATTAGCAGTTTTTTCCTGTCTAATGTCAGTGTTTTCAGTAGGAAAAAGGTAGTTCTATGTGGATAACTGTATGCTTAAATAGTATATAAAAACATGTCCCCTAGCATAAACAGTATAGCCGAAACTGTTGTGCTGTACTCTTTAAACTAGTAATGTTACATAGAGTGTCGTATAATCTGTGCACCCAGGCTTTACAACTATGTCTTTGTAAAGTCAGTTCAGTGTTTTGGGGGTGATTTTGGCACCCAGAAGAAATTGGGCAATGTCTGGAGACATTTTTAGTTGTCAAAACTGGGAAGTGGGGGAGTTGCTACTAGCATGTAGTGGGTAGAGGCCAAGGATGGTCACACCAGCAATGCACAGAAGAGCGACGCACAATAAAGATTTACCCAACTCCAAATGTCAATATTGCTGAGGTTGAGAAACCCCATCCTGACCTGACTCTGCACCTCTGTAGCTTTGCTTTATAGTGTCCAAATACTAAAAACCCAGATGTTTATATGGGTAGTTACCTAAGTGGCCAAAAACTTTACCTCTGAAATATTACTGTGCAGCGTATTCAATATAGGGAATGGTGAATTATAGCTATTCTATTCTCACATTTTCCATCTATAAGTAAACAGATTCAGAAAACTACAGAAGTAGCTCAGATTGTCTAAAATGGGTCACTCAGAAAGCAGTTCATTCATCTAGCTATTGATGGCTTCAGAAGCAACCTAAAATTTTTGAGCTTTAATTCTTTCTTTGAATACATTGTCTTAGATTAGATACAAAAATTGTCATTTCAACCATTTACTGAATCTTATGTGAGTGGTTGAAGCTAGCGAAAATGATACCAGTATAAAAATGTTACCAGTAGTCTATGAACATGAACACAGTGAGTGATTATTTGATTTTTTTAAATAAATAATAGCTATGTAGGGGGTGGGGGTGGGGGTGAATGTCCTCTGTGTCAGATGATGATGATGATGCAATAATGATAGGAACTGTGTGTTAGGAGTTAGGAAGCACTTATCACATATTATCTGACCTAATCTGTAGAACAGTCTTTGAAAGTCGTATCTATTGTTCCTGAACCCCGGGGCTTAGAGAAGTCACACAGTTAGTAAATGGCTGGTCTCATATACATCTTGGTGTATTTTTTCTTTGCCCCTCCTGAGGAACAAAGTGTGTGTCTTTAGTCCCTTTGGTATTTGCTCTGAAACCAAGGACTTTCTTAACTTGGTGATTTGCCTTCAGTCCCCTAAAGGTGCTTTTTCCACCATCCAGGTGATTCGAATGCATCCTAAGATTGAGAGTTGTGCACAAAGATCACTTTGTATTTTCTGGTTTTCAGGGCTGATATGTAGCTTTAATACATCTCTTCTACTGACCGATGCTACCTTGATTCTGCATTTGTTCCCTTTTAATTTAAGAATGTCTTAAATCCATATGTGATACTTGAGTATGAATATACAAGGAAAAATAGACTTCTGTTTAGTTACCTTGACTTCAAAAAGTGTTATTTTTCTATAACTGAAATAAATGCTTCTACTGTAGAAATAAAATTGGCCTATACTAACTGAAACTCTATCATTTCAAGTGATTTGCATTTAAACCATTTCAAGGCTGTGAGGGTTGAGTTGTCAAGTGTGCAAGAGATCCCTGCCCTTGGTGAGTTGAGGCAGGGGGCCTGAGTTTTGTATTGTACACTATGCTATGTGCTTTACATACATTACTTTATTTGTTCCTCAAAATTACCGTGAAACCAGTCATGCTATGCATAATTTTATAAAAAGAATATAGTGCCCCTCTGATTGCTCTAAAGGCCTGCATAAAACATACTAATACTAACCCAAGATTTTGGCATAAGAGCTCTGAAGAGGAATAGTGAAAGTTTCTAGTTAAAAGCATTGTGGCTTTGCCACTTACTATGCTGAGTCATTTAACTTGCCCTGTGACTTGATTTCCTTTTTTGCACAATGGGCATAATGCCTAGGCTTCATAGTTGCTTTTTTAAAATGCAGTTTATTTTTAATAAAGATCTACATAAATATATAAAATTATAAAATGCTACGTAAGTACAATGTGATATGTGTTGGATTTGCAATGAGTAGATTTTAGATTTTCTAAAAGTGAGCCATGAATATAGTTAAGATTATTTTTGAGTGGAGCAATCTTAAGTTTATGGAAGTAAGAGACTTAAAAAGATTAATACCTTCCAGGTCTTTGAAGAGACTTGAGTTTCTTAGCCCTGCCCCAGGTGTGGATGGATCGGGTTGGTTCACTGCAGTAGAAAACATTGCTGTCTTGAGTGGTGCAGTTGGGAAACCTTCATATGGAGCCTGTCAGCAAAGGTAGAATACTGAGGGGAAGCTGAGTCCTTGATGACATCATTTGAACTGCTGGATCAAACCTCACCTAGTACTAACTCTAAATTTTCAGATTTATGAACTGAATTTCTCCTGTTTTGTTAGGTTTTATGTCTTTCTGGCATCCATTTACCACGGAATCAATTATATTAGCTCTGTTTCCTTATTTTATCAATTCTTAATGCTGTAGCATTTGTGGCCTTTCTGACTCGGAAGAGATTGCACCTCTCAAGTTTAGCCAATTTTTAGACATAGGGAAGGCTTGCTCAGGAGCTTGCCTTTCATATTCAAACAAATCAATCATGAGTATATCCGCCCCCTCACAAGACCACTTTTTTAAAACTCACCAAACCACTACTTGCCCTAACTTAAATCAACCTATGGCCAGGTACCAGATGAGAATTCACTGACCTTAAACTGGCAAACCCTTAGATGTTTACCCTTCCCTGCCTTGTCTTTCCCCAGGAAAGCTCCAATGAAAGCTTAAGCTTTTCACTCACTCTTGCTTTGCCTCCTGACCAGAACCCGGTGCTCCCCCTGTGGCTGGCATGGTACAGCACACCCCTTTCAAGCCAAGATTTTTCAATGTCATTGTTCATAGTCACTCACTCTTTTTGTTGTTGTTGTTGAAGAACCACTCAACTCATTCATTCAACAAATATTTATTAAGCACCTACAATATGCCAGGCACTGTGCTGGGTGCTGGGGATACAACTGAACAAGATAGACACAGTCCCTGCCCTCAAGGAGCTTACAGTCTAGTAGTTATACAGACAGGTACACAGGCAATTACAATGCAGTATGGTAAGTGCTATGATGGGAGAAAACATTAGAAGGATACCTAACTCAGTCTCAGAGGCAGGAGTTGGTGGATAGTCATGGAAATCTTTCCAGGGCAGGTACACTTAGATTTGAGTACTGAATGATAGGTATGAGTTAGCCAGGTAAAAAGGAGACAGGAAAGAGTTATAGATGGAGGAAGTAGTACATGTTGTGTCCCATGTGCTGCTTTTGAAGTTCACTTTGTGGGAGAGGTTGGGTAGTGTTGAGAGAAGTAGTGGAGAGAGGAGTCAGTTCATACAGGGATTCATTTGCTCTACTCAAGAGCTTGGAAGTTTTCCTGAGGGAATTGTGTGTGTGCGTGTGTGTGTGTGCATGTGTGTTTTCAGATTTGTACATTTAAAGATTTCACGCAGCACAGAGATTGAATGGAAGATGGTAATTTTGAGAGTTGAAACAACGTGATCATCCTTTTTCCTTTTCCAACTTTATCTTCCATGGTTTCATACCCTCTACTCTCTCCAGCCCCTAGAGTTGCACACATTCCTTAAATAAGCCATTGGCATGCATGGCTTTGGGCCATAGCTCATCTTTAATGCTCTTAACACCTTCACCTGCGAAAATGCAACTCATACTACAAGATCAGACTCAGAATCATCCTAACTTGTGCTTCCTGCCAAGATCTCTAAGTACTGTGAGGTTTATCTTATGATAGTACTTATTTTTTTGGATGATCCAAATCTGTTTTTTTTTTTGAATCATGCTAATTTAATCCATACATCACATATAATAATTTTTATAAATGAATATACAATTTTCTTCAAAATTTCTATTTGAAAACATGGACTAATTCTTCATTTGCTCATTACCCAGAACTATTATTAGTACCTTCAAATGATTTAATTGGAATAATGGGAGTGGGGGAGAGAAGCCCAAGAGACACAATATTTTATGCAGCCAAATACAGTCAAGTAAAATTTCAACACAATAGGATATGTTACTACTACGACAATGATCCCCCAATTCAAACACTTCTTTTTTGACAGTTTAACCCACTTAACAAGTAAAAGACCTGTAAAAGAGGGCAGCTTGGTCTCCAAAAATAGCAAGGACTAGCTACATTTTCCAATGTGGCCCACCAGTTGACTTCTACCATCTCTCCTACAGTCCTATAATTTCTCAAATAGCTTTTCTCTGGTAAGAAAAAAACCTTAACCTCTGTAGATACTGTAAGAATGTCTGTCATTTTATTCTTTTTGGTGGGTACAAAAACCGCAATTTTGTACACAGAACAGGATTATAAATAATATCGGTAACAGGAGTGACCCATAGTCTCTTGATTCTAGATGGCAGACTGATGATCATATGTTAGCGTTGTCTTCGTTTTGTATTTGTTCCTGGTCGTGAGACAAATGCGATCTGTGGACAGCGACTCTGTGACAGAGTGAAGATTACAGCAGACAAGAAGATGACCCACAACTTTTATTAAAAAAAGTCTCTAAAGTTTATTACAGTGATGGCATTTATATCAATTATTGCAATGTATTGTTCCCTAAGATGGTTAGAAAAAAGAATTGTGTTGTCCTCTACTGAATTTACGTCAGTTAAAAAGCAAGCATGTTTCAGTATTTTTCTCCAAAGTAAGTGTAAATACTTCCTTTAAATTTTGTTTTTCACAGGATTTACATGTTTGTTTATTATTTTCTTATCACAGTTTAGTGATTGTTTTCTCAGCTGGATAGTCTTCCATGAAATATATGGGTGCTCTGGAGACACAGGTTAGCATGTTCTTTGATGTCTATAACTATTTTGTCCCTTGTGGTGAAGACAAAGGCTTTTCTGAGCAATAATTTCACAGTTTAATGCGCTAACTCGCAAGTCTGATTAGTTTTTAAGTCCACTCGAGTGAAATTTGTTGCTGTTAATACACCCATCCCAGCTCCCCCCACCCACGCCCCGAAAAAACCTAAATGGTGAGTTTTCCTGATATAAAATCTGAGTTTGGGTTTCCGAGCTGAGCTCATGCACGTTGCTGCTGCTGATGTGGGGCGCATTAGGACGACTCCCGCTCTCAGCCAAAGGATTGGTTTAGCGAAGACCCACACGGGGCGTGTCCCTCAGGGCTGCGTGTCCATCAGTCACCAACACAGTTTAATTAAGGCACTCAATTATTTTTTTGGTTTTTATGGAAGGTCCGATGCAATGACAGCCAATCCTGAACTTTGTCTAATTGCAGTTCCAGTGTGAACAGCCTTTGGGCAGTCGGGCGTCAAGACGCGGCCATTTTCACCCACACTCCCAGTGATGGATAATCTGGCTTTGTTTCTTATGGCTTCAGAAAAGGTCAGCTGGGTTGCATGGAAAAGAAACAGAAAGAATGTGGAGTGTTACGATGTTCCTGTTTCTTCAAAAAATATGACACAACAAACACCAAAATATTAATAGTTAGACATCTGCATTTTTTCATATTCTTTCAGTCATATGAAAGCTGCTTATAGGAGGAAAGCTGCTTATAGGACTAACCACTTATGAATCAGTCTAGAGTTTATAGCTCTGCCTGTTGAAGAACTCATGCTAAGTGATAAAACTGGATTTTGTTGAAGAAATCTGGCCTGGCCAAGTCTTTCAACTTGCTGCATTCTATTCCTCACACTTGTAGGCCAGTGTAAAGTTTCCTTTAGGTTTGCATGATTAGTGGAATCTTATTGCCTTAGAAAATATCTTTACAGTGTCATGATTATACTCTTAAAATTGTTAGGAATTGTCTAAACAAACTGTGGAGACTGTTCATGACAGATCTTCCTGTTTTCAGAACATGATCTATCCAGACGCTTCATTCATTCACACCAGTTATATAGACATGATCCAGAGCAGCGAATGAGTGACAGGAAGTTCTGTCTGTGGCTACTCTGGAAGGGAAGGCTCATATTTTAAGAAGCTTTAAGTGCTTAAAATGAGCATTCTAAAAGGAAGCATGCATGTTCTGACACCCCATCACACTTGGGAACTTCCTAGATTGAGGTTATGGGGTCAGGTCTTTGAAAACCTCATTAAATTCCTGTTCTCTGTCCTATTAAGGAGCTGATAATAATAACTTCAGAGGAGAGACAGGCAGTGTTATTATGGAAATTTAATTACTGTTCACTCATTGCCATTAAATTCTTTCTAGTAGCTGAATTTTAATGTTAACTCAAGAGGAAAATGAGGTAAATGAGATGTTATGATTCAGATCATAAGTTTCTCGTAACTCACAATGTAGCTTAATTTTCTGTTATGGTTTAAGTTTGCCTGATACTTTAGGAAATTCTAGACCTGCATTAAATCTGCTCTGGGATTTAAATATTAGAACAATTATATGAAAAATGAATGAAGTTAATAGATTAAAACTGTTATAATGAAAAGGAGTTAGAGGCCAGGTAACCTGTTAACTGCAGAAAGTTGAAGTCAAATTTCTAGTCAGTGACATATCTGTGATAAAAAGCCAAGATCATTATTATAGTTCTGCTTTATTGAACACTCAAAAATTAACACTTAAATTCATAATTGGAGGCCAAGTTATAATCTCAACAGAAACTCTACTCATCATTAAATTACAATCATTAAATTACAATGTCTCGACCTGTTCTGTTTCTTCAGATTCCATTTCAACATTTAATGTTAAACAAAATAGATAATTATTTTTAAAAATCTACTAGTTTTGGGCCTCCCTGGTGGCTCAAGGTGTAAGTCTCAGCACTATCAAGCTAGCAGCAGCCACTGTAGCATGAGTTCGATCCCCAGCCAGGGAGCTAACCCATATGGCTCAGCAGACCTCTTCTGTCTTGTCTGCTGCTCCCCTCAGAAGTTCATTTCAGTCAATCTTCCTGCTCTGTTCCCCACTCTGTCTCTGATGAATCCTCTCTCTGCCACTCCCCAACCCCACCTCTGGCCTACACTCCAGCTCTTGTATGCATAAATAAATAAAATAAATCTTTTTTTAAAAAAAGGAATATCATATAAAAATCTACTAGGTTTAATTTTTTTGAAAAGGAAATACTAAAATACTATCAATGAAATCACTGTGATTTCTTGAAGGAATTTTTGAAAAGCTCTTGTCTTCAAATCTATTTCTGTTTCCTTTCTTATCTTTCTTCTCTTTGCAAGAAAAGAAAAATATCCAAAGCAGGAACCATGTACCATTAAGTCATCTCTCCTCTACAGTTTAGTATAATTAACATAGATTTGTCAATTGATTTTCTTATTTTTTATATTTGTATTTCCTGCTTCTTCCTTAAAATGTCACTTATAGTTATCTTGACGTGAACCTCTTGAGCCTGCTCAAACTTGGAAAACATTTTTAAAAATTTCCTTATACTCTGTGTCTAGTTGGATAATTGTGATAATGGCTATGACCTCTGTGGTCACTAATATTCTACCATACATTGAAGGTTTTAATTTTTTGTATTTTTTTTTTTTTTGAGATTCAGGATCCATGTTATCTAAATTATCAATCATACTTATATTGCCAACAAATCTTTTGAAAGGAAAAAAAAATTAATAATGGAATGAATTAAAAACAGCTCACTCTCAAGTCCATCTCTACAGATATAGATCACTGCATTTGCCTTGAATGCCAGTTAGTCTTTTAAAAAGTTATGCAGATAAATGCTTTATTTTTATTTGAAATTTATTGTCTTAAAAATTCAACCCCAATTCCAAAGGCAATTCATGTGAAGAACTGTAATGCCAGGCTTTGACTCCCAAAACATTATTATATGTAAGTTAAATGTATATAACTTGGGAAATAGTCTTTATAGTAACTTCCCATAACTTTGTAATGAGCCGTCATATACATCTTTTTAGAATTTTCTAATATTCATTTCTTTTCTGTGCTTCATTATCTTTGGACCTTACTGATGTTTGAAAAGCCTTTGCTAATCCAAAGAAAATCAGTTTTAATGAACTGTTAAAAATAAATTTTTCTTAAAAGATTTAAAAAAGAACTGGAGTGTAGGCCCGAGGTGCAGAGGTAGGGGGGGATGAGGGGATTCACCAGAGACAAAGTGGGGAGCAGAAAAGGCAGACCTACTGAAATACACTAAGTGGGTGAGACAGGAGAGATCTGTTGTGCCATGTGGGTTAACTCCCTGGCTGGGGATCGAACTCATGCCACAGTGGTGATAGTGCTGAGACTGTACCCCTAGGCCACCAGGGAGGTCCCCAAAATAATTTTTTTAAAAGACATCTAATAAAATTAATCTTACAATGAAATCCAAATAATTGGCTCTGAAAACTTGTCAGATATTATTTTTGTCTGTTTGGGAAAATCTGCTCTCAACTCTAAGTATTAAGATGAAAGCATTCCTGTGAATGGTCAAGAGATCTTGACATCACCCCAATTTATTGTTTAGAAGAGATGCTTAAAACATTCAGATATCTGTGAGTTGAAGGTTTTGTTCTTAATTCTTTTCCCCTGTATTGTGAAAGAACCACTTTGGGATTATCTTAAGTGCAGTCATACTCAGTCATTGATTATTAGATAATGGATAAAAGCAATTATTTCTTGGTAAAAAGATGGCTTTTCCCCCTAGTTTTAAGATACTAATAAATACTTCAGTAGCTTTTATGTAATAAATAAAGATCAAAATCATGTATATTTACCTGGCATAACCTCAGATGAATATCTTTTATGAAAATTATAATGGATTTTTGATTCTAGGGTACATTAAGCACTGAATGTCTCTTTTGGGTTCAAAGACTCGTTTATCATTCTAATGAGAATGAGCAGCCTGTTCAGCTGGCTATTATATATAATTTTAGAAAATGAGTTTTAGAGACCTGATTTTTTGGAAGAGCAGTAGCAGATGCTTTCTGTCTCATTTTAAAACCACTTTCTATCATTAGAAGAAAAAAATTTAGTAGATATTTAGATTCTTAAAACCTGACCTTCATCTCCTATATTTCACTGAACATTCACAATTTTTTAATGTGTCATGTTAAGAGGATATGAGTGAGGGGCTGATTTGGCTAACTTAGAAACAGTTGAAATATAAAAAACATTGTAATAACTCATTGTAATCTTTTATTTTTTATTGCATCCTTCCTAAGGGACACAAAAATTGACACCTTTGATGGAGAAACTGCTATTTTGCCTCAAATGTTTATTCACCTTAGTGCTTCTGTGAGCATAAAAGTATAATTTCATCTAAATAGCTATGAATTGTAGTCAATGTTCTGACAATCACTCCTGCTTATAGGTCTGGCTCAAGGACTTCTGTCACTTAAACAAATAGCAGGGGATCACTGTTCAAAATAGAAAACGATGGATAGTGTGAAACAAATTAGTCCAGGAGTGAAAACTCCAAGGATTTGGAATTTTTACATAACTTGTTTTTCAGAAAATAATATCACCTTATAAACAACAGCAACCGTCTAGGCACTGATAATTTTTGAAGCAGGTTTTATACGTATTACGTTGGCACTTATTATAAACCTGGATTGTTCCTGAGATGATTAACCTGGTCTGTGTATAAGGGAACCCAGATCTAGTTTGCAATTTCCTCCAAATTTTAGGTAGGATAATATATTATTTAAACCATTTCACAGAGCAAGTCTGGAGGTTTGTTTTTGTTTTTCTGACCCTTTCAATGCAGATATCTATTGGCAACATAAAGTTTCGAACGGTACATCTGCAGCCAAAGAAAACCGAACCACTTTGCACTGAAGGTTTCAAAAATACCAAGCTCTAATTAGAAGCAAGCAATACCACCACTGGACAGACAGGTCACGACACTGCGTTACAGGATGCATCACCCACTCACTGTTGTAGGCCCTAAGTCCTACCCCTAAATTTTAATACTTTCGGTTCCATATACGTTGTAACCTTCTCTATAGGTTGCTAAATTCTGGGTATTCTGCGAGGAAGTTGGGTTAAAAGTCTGTGCACTCTTTGCCACCTTCATTCTCTTCGCTTCTGCCCTGGACTTGTAACAGAACTCTATCAAAGCCACCAGCATTGCCAAGCCCAAGCCGCCAACCAGAATGTAGAAGACTCCTGCTACGTTGCTCAGGCTCAAGGCACTCGTCTTGTCCTGGGGGGATAAAGACACTTCAGTTAACTGTGGGAATGTCAAAGACACAAGATAAAAGAATACATGAAATTCAAACAGTTCATTAAAGTACATACTTAATTTAACCTTAAATCACTGCTGTAGGTTTATGGATTTAACCTTAAGACTTTTAGCTCTTGGGAGAAGTAAAAGTATGATGATTACCGATAAAGTGTGTATAACTACATTCAGTAAAATCTGTAACATTTTATCACTATTAAATATGCAATGAAAACCATTATACTTAGAGATATGTAAGCATTTATATATTTACATAGGGTGGCAGAACTGGGCTTCTTATTGTTAAGATTGAATAAAACCCAATTACATGGGAAGGGGATATCTTATTGCTTTCTTTCCATTAAAACTTATTTTAAATGTTTGATGGTTCTCTTAAATAAATCTAACTTCACATTTCCTACTTACAGAACTAAGGGTCATTAAACTGGCAGTTTCACATTTTTCATTATTCCCTTACCAAATATATGCAAATACTGTGCTAGGTTATACATTATTAGGCCTTTTGGTCACATCCGTGTGGGAAATATTCTGGAAAGTTTCACTTTTACATATTATATACCGTTTAGGAATAGTTATATTGGATCACTTTTAGGTAGCTTTCTTTAAAGGTAACTTTTAAAAATATACAAATTACATGGTCAATGAAAAATTATGTATGGAAAAATTTATAACTATTTTTATTGATTTAAAAATATGATTTCATTCCCACTTGAAATGCTTAATTAACATTTTCCAGAGTTCTAATATGCATATTATCTCATAATAAATTAAACAGTTGAGCATAAAATTCAAGATACTATAATTGTAACAAGAACTCAGACTTTTTTAATCAATTATAAATACATATCTTATATAACATTACGTGAAGAGATATTTTGGGTAGACTACCTGAAGGATGCCCTGTGTTCTTCTCAGCTGTCTGTTATGTGCAAAAAGTGATTAAGACATTTAGTTTTATTAGGAGAATGTTCAATTCAACATGTAGTATTATGTACACTGTTCACTTAGCCATGGCATCAACTGACTGGGCCAAATTTTTAGAGTAACTTCATTTTTAAAATCATCATTCATTAAGTATTTATATCTCTCTGACTTCACATAAGGATTTGGTATTACTATTTCATTATTTGGCCAAGCTTCTCTCATTCCACTCTGGTTCAAAGGCAGACAAAGGTGATTAAAATATAAGGAGAAGCACTGAAACATTACTTTGTCTCTTTCAATTAATTTAGTTTCTCTTATTTAAACCAGTCCATTTAATATCACAGAATAACAATAGTTTGCAAAAATTTGTGTAAAAGAAAAGATACTGAAAAAGAGCAAATAAAAAATCCTAAGAATTCTCATATATGGATTTTAGCAACTGTTACTACATTCTATACATCTGCACAAATATTTAGATTATTACTTTTTTTTCCCCCTAGGAGTAAAAATATACCTGTTCATAACACTACTTGTGTTGAGTAGAATTAGGCCTATAGTTTCCCATTTTGTTCTGGGAGGCATTCACGAACAAGACATCTTAGAGTTTGAGGATATTAATCACAAACTTTGGTTTATTAAAATAATGTTGATAGGCTAGAATTGGAAGTTATACTCTTTTAGCACAGAAAGATCATAGGGCCTCTTCAAACTAAAGTGGAATGCTTGGCAATAGGGTGACAGTAGACAACTTCTGAATAAGCATATATTTAACTGATATGCATATAACTAGTTAATATTAATATCTTCTTTTTCTAGATGACTATTGAGCAATATTCCATTTCTGTTGGAGAATACCTCAGTTCTTAAAATAATAGATTTCACAGTCTTTGCCTTTAAAACAGAAACCTAACCAAAAGGCACTACTTTTATTAGTGGTACGTAAGTTTGAGAATAATATAAGGAATGTTATTATTTTCTATAACTTTTAGCTGTTAATTTAACTTTATTTAAGAGATTTAATATTAGGGGAGCAGACTGCCTTGCTTTGAAAAGACATAACCTGTGGCTAAAATTTATGACATTAGCCTCTAATTTGGGCAGTGTGTAGAGAAGTGTCTGGCTTTTTATTGTTTCCATCTACTGCTGACAATTGCTCCCATCTACTGCTTTGTGAACACGAGCGGAGGCCCCGAACTGCAGCGACTGACCTTGCTTCCAGAGTCCTTGGGTCCACATTCACCTTTATCGTACCACCATTTGTTTTTCAGCTTGTCTAAGACGCCTGCCTCACTGAGTTTCAAAACGGCAAGGTTTACAGGAGTTCTTCACGTGGAAAATAACATAAATAACATTATATATGTTATTTTATGTTATTCAAGTAAAACTACATTAGAATCGCATGGCAAAGTGACAGAGCAAAGGCCACAGCAGGTGCTATGTCTTGTACTGTAGGCCCAGGTTTAGAATCAGACATAAAACTGGGGCCTGCTCCATCGCTTTAGGTAACAGGCACATACTGCTTGGGAGGATTTTTAAATAAAATGTATGCAATTACTGTGAATCCAAAACTATTGGCCTGGGATGGGTTTCTTGAGCATTTACAATTTTCCCAACAAAAATGTGGGAGTCATTCAAAATCTAAAAGCTCCCATTCCCCGCCCCCCTTTCAAAATGAATAGAAGTAGTGGTTGCAAATTGACAGATTTATCCTTAACCACTCTCATCTAGGATATAATTAAAAGAAGAGGGTGAGTGTCTCTGGTTCATAGTTTTTTGTTGATTTTGATTTAAAATTCATTAAAAAAATCTCAAATAAATATTGTCATTAATAAAGTTAAAAAAAATCAGTTACAGAACAACATGCACATGTTGACTTGATTTTGTCCAAGGAGATGTACATGTTTGCATTTAAAAAAGTAATAAAAACACCTAATGAGAAAGTTAAAGTGAAAAAAAAAAAAAAAAGGAGGGTGACTCAAATGTTGTTGATAAAAGGCTAACTCATGCAGAGGAAGGTCCTTGTAAAACTCGTTATTTTAAAGTAAGCTGATGTTTTCCTTCTGAATTGCAAATTACAATATTTCACCTAAGTAACATTACCAGAAGCAATCTACCATTTTAATATACTCTAAGTACATAGTGAAATGACTGTAACATACTCTATGAATTCTTTCCAGTAGCTACTTGATGTATTAAGGGTAAGAAAGACTTTTATGAAGGACACTTTGCCAGTACTGCAGACTCCCATCTTTCTTTTCTACCTTTGGTTTCTTCAGTACATATTCCATGAAGAGTCTCTCAAGAAAATGTCAGCATCAGCATCCCAAGGAACCTAAGAATTCTTCTGGATACATTTCCTCATTCATCTCTGTATGTACAAAATGAAGGCTAGGAGGACCAGTAACTCCTAGGATTGTCAGTCATCACTGCTTTTGTGGTTGGTTGGTTTTAGTATTATTTTTTTTGTTTGCTTTTACCACCATTCAGAGAGACTTGTTGCCATTTCTAGACATTTCTGAAGCTCAACCTATATTTGTTTGCAGTATGTCCCACTGCCTCACATCTTCTAGGAAATGTTGAGTGCATTTGGAGAAACAACAGCACACATTTATTTCATTTTCAGGGGATTAAGTCCATAAATTTATTAACATAAATAGGTAGTGTATTATGATGGTGATTATGCTAGCTAACACTTACTGAGCACTTACAGGGCACTGGTAAAGCATTTTACAAATTTAACTTTTTTTCAAAGATTTATTTATTTATTTATACAAGCACTGGGTACAGTCAGAAGTGCGGGAGGGTGAGAGAATTCACCAGAGCCAGAGCGGGGAGCAGAACAGGCAGACTGATGAAGTACACTGCTGAGGGGAGCAGCAGGGCACAGCAGGAGAGGTCTGCGTGCCATGTGGAACCCTCGCAGTGGCGGGGATCAAACCGGTGCTGCAGAGGCTGTGGGCAGCTTTGCAGCCCAGCGCTCAATCGCTGCGCCACCGGGGAGGCCCGAAATTTAATTGTCCTTATCTCCCGCATTTTACAAATGAGGAAATCAAGGCACAGAGAGGTTAACACTCACATAACTAGGAAGTAACTGAATTGGGATTTGTAATAGTCTGACTTCCCAGCTTGTGCATTTAAATATATTCAAGAAGAATCCAGAAGTGGGTTTCCAGTCAATTCAACTTTCTGATTAGCAGTTAGGCAGAAAAACCCATTTTTTGGATTAAAATCTAACAGGAACATGATTTAACACTTCTAAAATCTGAGTTTTAGGGTAGAATGAGAATTATGGGTTAATTGAGGTGCTTGGTTAATTTAACCCCAGTCTAGGTTTTACTGTTTATATGCAACCCCAGGACCATCTGTGAAGCAACTTACAAAGCCAAACTTGTGAGTTGGCTGCTGAACTATGAGCTCTTAAGAACAGAAGGAACATCTCATTCATCATCTTTGTAAAATAGTATTTACCAGAGTATCTGATTCAGGTAGGTGTTCAGTAAAGCTGCTACATTTAAATTATTTTGAAGCCTGAATGATTATTTTGTTTGTAAGAAATTTTAGGTCCAAAGGTTAGCTGGCCAAAGCCTTTTTAACACATGTGTACATACATTTTATTAGCTAATGTTGCACTTCTTGAATGGTGTGTGTTGGGAGGAGAAGGGCTCAGGGTTGTAAGGGAAGAAAATAAAAGCAAAGTTTCCTTCACGTTTCTTCCAGAAGGAACAACTGAAAGCAGAATTATCTATTAGATGAGTGTCCTTTGGTTTCTCAGTCTCCTTAGTGTACTACTTTTCTTACTGCCTTGTATGCGTTGTCCCTTCTGCTATGTATTCACCCCACTAGCCTGGTTTTAGAGGGAAAGAACAGATTAGCATTTTGGATATATTTATTATGAACCAAATTTAATGGGCAACTGGAGGAATGTTAGGAAGTGAACAAGGAGACTCTTTCTCCAGGGCTGAGTTTCCCTTGGCAGGTTGTTTATCACCTCATTCTAGCTTTTCCACGTTTTTCCTACTTATGAATATCCCTTTATTCTTTCCTCAGTTTCCAAGGTTATGGTTAAGGGCAATAGGTAATTTGTAAGTATCCTATATTTACAAGTAAGGAATAGATATTCAAAATGGCAAATTTTGGCATTCATATAATCCTAAAGAATTAGCATTCATATAATCCTAAATAATACATTATTTACCAAATGATTTTCATATGTAAACATACCTGAATATATAAATATATACCTATGCATATTCTTTATGCATAGGAGAACTATAAACACACACACAAAAAACTACTACATCAGATTTTATTAGCACTGTGGATCACTGATGATTATGGGTGTTGCCAAAATTTTCAACTGGGACCTGTATTAAACAACTCACATACAACTTAACATAAAATTTTGCATATGGTTTGTGCTCAGACTAAATCATATCAGATTAAAGAGGGTAATGAATTTTAGACAGCAGAGTGATATTTTTGAATTGGTTCAGTGTCAGTAAATTTCTGTTATTTTGTTCACAAAAATGAGTATGACCCTCTTATGACCACAGAAAAGACCACAGCACAATTAATATCGTTATCGCAAGAGTAAGTTCTCAAGAAAAGGAATTTGTACCCCTAAAGTCATGCCTTTGCACTTTACTTCATTAATATATAGGGCCTTTTCTCTTGCTGCTTATCAAATTTTTCCATGTCAGTGTGAAGTCTCTGGGCTGAGACTGCTCTGACCAGAGCTTCCTGGTTGGGAATGGCTATCAGGTGGGTGGGGACACAATTGTTTTGCAGCCGTCGCCTGTGTCTGGACACAACCACAGTGACTACAGCTAAGCTGCTAGTTATGTTAGCACCAGCTCCTTGAGGGAAAGCACTGCGGGTGTAATTCTTCTTTTCCCCAGACACTCGCCCAGGGCCCAGTGCAGGCAAAGTTTAACGCTTTGCTGGGAAGAGAAGGCTGGAGGTGTCCTCCCTGGCTCTCATCCTGGAATGATAGGAGGGTCAACTGCCTGTTGCCTCGTGGGAAACTTTCTGTGTGTGGAACAGTTTTCCACGTTCTTCCCCTTCACAAAACCACGTAAGGAAGATGAGTTATCCCTATAGATTCTGTATATGAGAATTGGAAGATACCGATTTCAACATGCTGGTGGCCATATCACTGTATGTGCGTTTGCTCTACATGGAATTGTTGGCATTTTGTTGTCTCTTCTGCTTTGGCTTTACATTCAGCTAAGGAGAAAAAGCCAATTTCATTCTTCAATTCAGCACTTTTCCCTTACTTTACCTCTTTTGAGGAAGGTGGGGCCAAATGGGAGGGGCTAGTTGAGCTTAAAAGATTCAGTCATCAGAGGAAGGTACAAAACAAAAATGTTAGAACTACCTCCTGTTAATTTACTTTGATTTAAATTAGTTCAGGTCACTTAAAATATCACCTTACTATTATTTTTCTTTCTTTTTTACAAATTCAGAATAGGGCATTATTAACATTAACATTGTAGCCAGCTATTCTCTTGGAGATAAATGCAACATACAACCTAGGAGAGATATTTATTCTTTAGTATGCAAACAAAATTCCTGCAGGGAAAACAGGGCAAACTGTAATTTCATCTGGGGAAACATTTTATATTAATTTTTCTATAACCTTTTAGATAACGACCTGTTGCGATTTGAAATAATGCCTTCGAATATCATTTTGTAATCATGTTTGATGAAAATCATGTCCCTATACCTATAAGAACAAACTGTTTAATTTTCAAAAGCAACAAGGTTAGATTCATATTTATTCTTTTTGGACAACAAATGCTTACATTATGCACCAAACAATGTGTTAGGTGCAAACAAATCAAACTCCAAATGCAGTCTCCAATTCCTCATAAATCAAAATGACTATCGTTACATAGATTTTTTTCCATTATATGTACATTTTTGCTCATTTTACTTTGCTGGAATGGGTTTCTACACTAAGAGAGGACTCCTTTAGTCATTTTTGTGTACATTTTTTACCTGTTAAATAGTGTTATGCTTCTATTATATTTGCAATAGAAATAAAAATTTGCAAGCACAATTTTCCTCACAGAATAGAACATCTTTGTTCTTTATTTTCCAGTGCTTTTGCAGCTTATAGTGTGCTTTTTTCTTGTATTTCAATTTGCATGGCAAAATTTAATTAATGTCAACTTGAATACTTTTTTCTGTATAGTAAACATATATATATTTACTTTTCATATTTTCATGGAAACTCTCAAAAACCTCTAGGCAAGATAGGCTCCAAAATACATAAAATTAGAACTTAGGAGAACATGTGATTGGTGCCTTAGATGGTGGTG